ATTGTATCACAATCTGTTATGACCAGAATTTGATGTTTAATGAAGTTATGAGGACAAAATATCCAAGAGAAATGAGTTATTAATACCAGTTGGGGAGATGATGTAAAAGTTAAAGTAAATAAGCAAAAGTACAAAAACACTGTTAATATTGTAATTGTTATAAATATTACTTGCGAATTGAATTAACTGGAAAAATTCTGTTTTGCAAATGTAAATAGTGAATTCCAGAACGAACAACTCCTTAAAAGAAATGGAACATTCTTATGGTGCCCACTAGATGGCGCACACTAACTAATTATATGTATTATAAGTCCTTCGATTTACGACGCCCGACTTATGTTGGATGCCACTTACGACACTTTTCAATTGACTGCCTGTTTCACCCCTACCGAAGCTTGTTTCGCCCTTACAATGCTCGATTTGCATAAAGTTTGCTTGAAATCACTTCCTGATTGTGTTATACTGGTATGGAGCTGGAAGGGGTCGCTTCTGATTGGCTTCTAGTCAGCAAGGTAGCTTGTTGCCAGGTAGGGTTGCTGCTTGTTTTTGATTGGCTCCTGACCCTGGGCTCAGCCAATCAGAAAGCTTGAATAGTGATTGGCTGAGGCTCAGCATGTGTGCCGTTCTCCCTGGCTTTCTGAGCCTGTGTTGTCGGCATTCTGAGCAGCATATATGAGTTTATATGTTTATTTGAATGCTGTTTACAAAATACAGTGTATAGTAAATACATTGAGGTTGCAACATTAGTCATCTATAATTCATTTAGTACAAAAATCTGTGTTATTGTGGTGAAAACGGTGTATCAAGCCTTGGTTTAGGAACCAATCCCACCTTCATACCATTGAATCCTATGGGAAAAGCAGTTTTGACTTACCACGTTTCGACTTACAACGCAATTCTGAGGACAGGTCTTCACTACGGGGGGGTCGATTTAAGATACGCAAATTCAGCTACGCAAATAGCGTAGCTGAATTCGACGTATCAGAGCCGACTTACCCTGCTGTGAGGATGGCGGCAAAATCGACCTACGCGGCTCCCCGTTGACGGCGCTTACTCCCACCTCTGCTGGTGGAGTAAGAGCGTCGATTTGGGGATCAATTGTCGTGTCCTGACGAGACGCGATAATTCGATCCCCGAGAGATCGATTTCTACCCGCCGATTAAGGCGGGTAGTGTAGACCTAGCCTGAGGAACAAACTGTGTTATAAGTCCGAGAACTCCCTGTATATTAAAAATAAGGTTCCAGTGCAATGGCTTTTTGGTTCTCGTTGTTACATATAAGAAATTATAGGTGGCCTGTGATCCATCTGTTGACTGCTGCTGCTGTTTTTAATTTAATATTTTTAGTGGCAGGTGGCCTAGCTTCAGAGCACTGGAAGTGTCCAGTTTAGTAATCCCTGGCCATATCTTTCACTCTCTTCCATGACTAATGACTACCAGAATTCCTATGCATCTCTGGCAAAATAGATGGGACTTGTGCCTCTCACTGGGGTCCGGATATCAAATGCATGTGTATATAAATAGTGGTGCTCAAAAATCTACAATGAATGGTCATTAAAATGCGGATAATGCCACTCCCTCACCTCACAGGGGTGATGTGGAGAAAAATTAATGTTTGTGAAGCAAGGTGGGTGAGATAATATCTTTTACTGGACCAGCTACTGTTGGTGAGAAAGAAGCTTTCGAGCTTACACAGCGCTTCTTCAGGTTTGTGAAGCACTCAGATATTCTAGTGGTGAGCACCATAGAGAAGTCCATGAGGAAATTAATAATTGTCTTCAGAGCAGGGTTTGAATAATGCAGAAGGATATTTTTCATTCTGTGGCTTCAGGTTAGTGCAGTGCCAGAAATCAGTGTCTGTTAGAATTGTGTTCAGAGTCTCTTGGTATGAAAAGCCATTGGTGTGGCATCCAAGGTGTATATTTTTACTTATTATGTTACATAGGTGGAATTTTAAATAGAATTTTGACTGTATTATTTCATTTTGAGGTGTCAAAAATACTCTGGCAATAAACTTCCATTAGATAAATGGCCCAAACCTGAAATTCTTACATATTCAGAACTCATATTGAATTGAGCAGGACTTTTGGGTGCACAGGAAATGTTAGATTGAGACCTCCAATGTTTTAGCATTATTCTGATAAACAGGGCCGCCGAGAGCGGGTTTGGGTCCCGGTGAACATTTTTTTCCGGGCCCCCCAGCAAGGGCGGACCGGTTAAACAGGGCCAATGCGGGGTGCGGGGTGGGGAGCTTCCGGACCGCCAGGCCCCGGTAATTTGTACCGGCTTCCCCCCCCACGTCGCCCCTGCGTGATAAACAGTGATTCATTACAGATGGATCCCCACTAATCCTAGCTCTCATAATTAGTTTGATCAAAGGCCATCATGAAGTAGCAGCACATTTAGATTATTTACAGGAAACATATAACTGAGAAACTGCTGAGACTAAGCCTACTAAATACATTGACAAACTCCATGTCGTATGTGAATAGAGAAGTACATTTTTTATTAAACTGGGTGGAAAAAGTGCAAAATAAATCTGATGAAGTGTTTATATTTGGAAAAGTAACATGAATATATGAATGATGCATACCGGGCAAACTAAATGACTAGTATACTAGCATATATTATGTTTAGAATTAAATGTTATTAAAGTTTTAGAACTTGATCCTGCCCCCACTGAAGGCAATGGGTTTAACTTTTTGTCATTGATTTTCATGAATGTAGGATCAGGCAGCCTTATGCATTTACCATTGTATGATAACCACAGAATTGACGTGTCTTTGAAAAAAGAGCATTTAAACAAGTGATATTTGTGCTACCTCATATGAAGATTTAAACTACTTTGTTTCTGTTTGGGTTCTTATATTTCTGCTTACTCTTAAAATGTTTTTTTTAAATATGATGATGGAGATACTGCCTAAAATCAATGGAATATCTTTCAGTGACATTAGCTATCCAACCTCCATTGGTAGCACCAAGGACATTTTAACACTCAAATATAGAGTTTACTTTAACTCTGGAGTGGAGCTAAACCTGGGTGAGATAATGCCATGACTCCTATTTATAAAATTAAGTACCTTCATTAATTGTATAAGTGAGACAACTATTCAAACCACATAGGACACAGTAGTCTAATAGTTATGCATTTTTGTCAAAGTTTCTCAAGGGTATTCCACTCAGTGTGTAATATGGGCAGCAGTAACAATTATTCAGTAAATCAGCTTCTCCATGATTGATAAGAATACTGGAAAGAGAAACACCTATTTATTTTTGCTGTTGGAACCAAGTTTCCTTTGTTCAATTAACAAAGGTCCAAATCCTGCACTCCTTACTCTTTGAAAACTCTGCATTATGGCAATAGGTGCTTTGAGAGAGAACTGCAGGATCAGCCCCTAAATGACTGACCCTACTAGTTTTGGCTGTGCTCTGAGATAGAGGAAACAAAGTTAGTGTTGTTATTTCAGCTAGAGCTATTTATACACTAACACTAAGAACTCTTTTTAGACCATTTTTCTTCTGTTTACTTGAAATAAATTGAAACCACAAAACAAATAATTGATAAAATTGTTAGTCCTTCTTCTCCAAAGGTGATCCCGGCAATTACAGGCCAGTAAGCCTGACTTCAGTACTGGGCAAACTGGTTGAAACTACAGTGGATCCAGTGGATATAGTGTACTTAGATTTTCAGAAAGCCTTTGACAAGGTCCCTCACCAAAGGCTCTTCAGCAAAGTAAGCTGTCATGGGATAAGAAGGAAGGTCCTCTCATGGATTAGTAACTGGTTAAAAGATAAGAAACAAAGGGTAGGAATAAATGGTCAGTTTTCAGAATGGAGAGAGGTAAATAGTGGTGTCCCCCAGGGGTCTGTACTGGGCCCAGTCCTATTTAACATATTCATAAATTATCAGGGAAAAGGGGTAAACAGTGAGATGGCAAAATTTGCAGATAATACAAAATTGCTCAAGATAGTTAAGTCCAAGGCAGACTGCGAAGAACTACAAAAGGATCTCTCAAAACTGGATGACTGGGCAACAAAATGGCAGATTAAATTCAATGTTGATAAATGCAAAGTAATGTACATTGGAAAACATAATCCCAGCTATAAGACAGGGACTTTTCATCTTGGAAAAGAGATGACTAAGGGGGGATATGATAGAGGTCTATAAAATCATGACTGATGTGAAGAAAGTAAATAAGGAAGTGTTATTTACTCCTTCTCATAACACAAGAACTAGGAGTCACCAAATGAAATTATTCGGCAGCGGGTTTAAAACAAACAAAGGAAGTATTTTTTCACACAACGCACAGTCAACCTGTGGAACTCCTTGCCAGAGGATGTTGTGAAGGCCAAGACTATAATAGGGTTAAAAAAAGAACTAGATAATTTCTTGGAGGATAGATCCATCTATGGCTATTAGCCAGGATGGACAGGGATGGTGTCCCTAGCCTCTGTTTGCCAGAAGCTGGGTATGGGCAACAGGGGATGGATCACTTGGTGATTACCTGTTCTGTTAATTCCCTCTGGGCACCTGGCATTGGCCACTGTCAGAAGACAGAATACTGGTCTAGATGGACCTTTGGTCTGACCCAGTATGGCCGTTCTTATGTTCTGTAAATCCCATCACAGTAAGAAATTTTTATCTACTTCCTAATTAATATACTTTCCCCCCCAGAGTCTTTCATTTAATTAAAATAGGAATTGGGTATCTGGATAGCTAAGAAAAGAATTTTCTAATTGTTTGTATTTGCATTACAGCTTATGCCACTTAGTCCAAGTTACATTTTTAAAGTAAATAAGAAACACTGGTGCCCATGAGGCTGTAAAACAATATCGGTCTGTTTTAGGGTTTTCTATATAACTCCTTTTCTGGAACTTTTTGCATTCTTAGTACAGATTGCAGATAAAGACAGACAGACCACTTTCTCCAGTGCCATACTTTACACAATATCCTTACAAAGGTGGTCCTTTCATTTGTAGAACAGTTTGACTCATACTCACTGTTTCCTTCTGCATTCAATGGCTCTATCTATCCTGAACTCAGGTAAACTGATGAATCCTTCTGCTTTTTCATCCTATCACAAGAGAGGAGGAAGTGCAGGTGAAAATGAGTACATTATTGAGAAAGAGAGAAATGAGAGGTGAGAACTGTACAGCTGTGACTTATGGCCCAAAGCCAGGTCAAGTCAAATTAATAAAGATAAAGAATACATTGTTCCCATACCGTTAATTCATGAAGATAGTTTACTTAAACATATGCTGTTGACAGTTTTTTATAAAGTGACTGACTTGTCAGTTCTCTAACCATGCCACAGTAACACCAGCCCTTCTGTGTTAAAGACAATACAGAGAACATTCAAATGTGAAAATTACTTTCAACATCATACCAGGTATTTGAACCCATTATTAATAACTCTACAGAGAGGTTCTCAGATTTTTTTTAAAGAGTATATTACATCTTAACAGTGATTGTATTGTGGACAATTCCCTTCCTAATGGTGACTGAAAACATTACTGTGGCAATTTCAACAATTGTTTGCATGGAAAAGTAATATTAGGAAAGTATTTCGTGTAATTTTCATTTCCTTAAACGTGATTTAACAGTGGAAGAAGAAGACCAGCACAATTTGACTAGCCAGCTTTCTGAAGACCACCCATAAGCGCTGCAAAGATTACTGATGGTTCATGTACCACACAGCCTGGGAACCACTGGCACACATAAGGAGCACCATCAAACATCTGCAGACACATCAGTAAGCCAATATACACACAATACAAGCATACACTCATACTGTTTTATTATTACCCCCAGTATAATCTAAGAGAACCAAATTTTAAAAATAAGTCTCCATGACTCAAATCAACTGCTCTCCTGAGTCAGGTTTTCACATTTGGTTTAATTTTTAGAATGTAGGAATGAACTCATCCCAGGTGTAACTCATGGCTGAATTTCCCCACACTGTTGATAATAGGGCAAGATGACAGCGAACATCTTGTTAACCTAATTAATAACAAATATGGAAAAGAAGTACTGTTTATTGCTGACACTTGTAGTTTTTGAAGAATGCCATGTAGCTTTTTTGCTATTTTATTGTTAGACTCACACATAGATGATTGAAGACTTCAACTGAATCATTGCAGCTGAATTTTTTCCTGTCCAGACCCATGTATCACAGACTCACGTCCAAGCAGAAATACAGTAAACTTTGCGTATTTAACTACTAATTGGTAAATATTAGCTTCCTTTATTTAAAAAGTAGCAAAATTTAATGTAGGCTGTTTTTTCTTTCTTTCTTTCAAGTGTAGCATATACTTACATTCTGGTTTGTGTACCAGTACAGTGAAGAATCCTTCAGAATAAACCAGTATTTTTTCCATTTCTGTGTAAAGTAACCTTTGGCATCTTTTTTCTTCCACAGCCAGCCCTCACAATCTCCATGGCCCAAGTCTTTGCAGGAAATCCGCCTCCTGCTCCCACTAGTCAGAGAGCTCCCTGTAAATGGGAAGATAACGTGAGAGACTGAGGGATCCTATTGCTATAAAAATAAATACAATAACTTACTTTTTAAAACTAGTGATGAGCCAAAACAGTAACCTCTAAACTGAAACCCTTCAAATTTCAGGGCGGAGGGTGGTTCAGATTATAATTCCTGAATCTAGACATGTCCTATGATTTTGGTTTCCAGATAGATGCAAAAATAGAAGAGGCATGGTTTATAATTCTGGATTGGACTGAATAAAATCGTATCCGATTATTTAATCTCAAAGGAGTTCTGTCATATGGGGCCAAAATCTCATGAGAATAGTTTGTGATATTTTGGCATCATCAAATCCAAACCAAAAACCTTGTCCTGATTTGGCCTTTAAGTGGCATAAACTTAAATCTTGATCCAAATCCAAACACCACTTTTTAGTTTTTAGCTTTTAGTTCTTAATTTTAGCAGCCCTAAAATAAGTCAAATTCTGGTAAGGAAGTTTATCATCATTCCATAGGAATCATGGAACAGTATATGCCCACAATACTTGTATTCTGATTTTAATTCATCAACAATATTTTAGATTTACTGAACTTAGTTTAAACACATCCTAGCTGATAACCCTGAAATGTCACTCTGTCTTACAGATATCACTATCAAACAGAATTTTTTCTTAGTATTGTATAATTTTTCCTTAAAAGCCCACGGCAAAGTTAATTAAAACATTAGATGCTTTACCGTGAAAAATCAAGTTTACATTGTTACATAAATTATATTTGTCTGACAGCTGTGAAGCAGTGCCAGAAGGTTAGATCAGATTAAATTACTACCCTTTTCTTGATAGTATTCCATTGATCTTAACATTTTATTCTTTTCAAAATAAGATACTGCATCCTGATCAGCTTTAGAAATATTACAAATTTATTGACTGAGTAAAGGAGAAGTCTTTAGGCAGTGAGTTAAAACTACAAACAGAATAAAAAGGCCATTTTGCATGTACTATATATAAATTATACCAGATTATTTTTAATTCCCTAAATATATTATAGAATGACAAAAGAAGTGCCTTTTTATTTTATAACTTTTTATCAAAAGTTTGTTTTCTTGATAGTCTCAAATAGTTTATGGTTTTTTAAAAGAATAAAGTAGTAAGAAATGGCATAATATATGTCTTTCTCCCACTGAAATCAAAGGAAGTTTGAACACTGATTTTAATGGGATAATAGGTCCATAGTACGGTTCCCTTGAGTATTTACTAGCAAACATGTAGATAAATATATATGATATCTGGAAATACATGAATTATGTCTGATTCCAAGAGTGGATCTGTATACGTGACCCACACACCTCCCATTGCCATAATAGGGCCTTCATTTTCTAAATTCTGAATATTTATTAATGCCAATGGTTTACCTTTGGACCATTTTTTGGTTTTTACCCTCAGGGAAGCGTAGTGGAAAGACTATAAGGAGAGAAAAAAGTATGGATGAGTACCAGTGCATGCAATATTAAACCATGTTATTATGTTGATATACTGTAATCTCTTCATTAATTATTGTTTGTGCCCACGATCTTCCTATCTCTGCCTTTTCAAGCATGAGAAAATCTTAATTTTTAATAATCATATTATAAAATATGGTTACAAAAGTAACACAAATTGCAGTTATTAGGCAACAACAAAACGGTAGTAATAATTGGCAGTACTGAGCAATCACTATAATCTCCTTTGGTGTTATTTTGTTTTATAATAATAGGAGGATAAAAACAAACAACAAACAAGCAGAACAATGCAATGCTAAATAAATAAGCATACATCTCTATTTTCACAGAGCTACCTGGGGTATTTAGCCACATGCCTCCCCATTAAGTCAACAGGAGCTCTCTGACTGAATCTTTATGCAGTAGTGAGGAGATAATTTCATGAGGGTTTCACAGGCATTATATAATAACAAAAAGTCACATATTCATTCATTTTAAGAATAAATTAAACTGTTACACTACAACTAATCAATTCAAGGAGAAATTTCTGTCCCGAATCTTATAAAGTTAATACGTGATCTTAGCCTTTGTTTCATGCCATATTAGTGGGAACTCGTATACACGTCCTCTAATTATATCCATGTACATGTCTGCTGTAGCAATGAAATGTCACCCAAAATTTAGTAACAGAGCATCATTTTATTCTTAGAGTGTGAATAACAACCATTCTTTTGTGACCGCAGAATATACCATTAATTCTGAAAACAATAGAAAGTAAGTCATTTTTATACATTTTAAAACATAAGTATTATTTAATGGAGAGTGGGGAGATTTTTTATGCATGGGAATGGCACGGGAGAAAGAACAGGCCAGCTTGAGGGATAAGTGGACTGCTGGCAGCTGAGGCTGTAGTCACTGGCAGAGCAAAGGCAAGGAGTTCATGGTGTCGCAGACACATATGTAGGGCAGGGTCGCGTGGTAAATGAAAGGCCGTCTTTTTCATCCGTTTTGTCCTGTCTGACATATAGATTGTGAGCTCTCTGGATCAGGGACTGTCATCTTTGCTATTTGTCTGTATAGTGCCTAGCACACTGTGGTCCTGATCCTTAACAGCGGGTTCAAGGTGGTACCATAATACAAATAAATAAAAAATAATATAATGTCTACATTCATCACTAAAAGTACAAGTATTTCAGGTGTTTTTACCATATTAAACATATATCTGTAACACTCTAGTAACTTGAAGAAGTTGTTGTGGTTAAGCAGCAGGTTTTTTAAGGAAGTAGATCATAACCATAAGCAATAGATACAATAATCTAAGCAAATCAGAGTGCAAGAAACTGTACAGTCATTGAGACTTAACTGTACAGTGGTTGTTTCCCCTTTTAGTACAATTCTTTGGCTCTGCTTGCCTCCAAGGGGTTGATTTGTCTTTGTAGGGCTATTTCTCAATAACCGTACAGTATGTGAATCCCTTTAATGGGTGACACCCCTTCCTGTCAACTGTGCAGGTATTTGCATAATCCCACTGTCGTTATTTCTCAATGACCACACTGCACTGCTCTTTGCTCTGGTTTGCTGCTATAATCCCTTCCTGCCCAGACTGGTTCTTGTTCTCAGGATTTTCAAGCTGATTACCAGCAAAAATGACACCACCTTAGCTTCTTATTTCCTTCACATGAAACAGAAAAACATCACTACTGATATGAAAAGCAGAAAAAACAAAGAAATTCACCTTTTCCAAAAACAAAGAAACCCCGCAAATGCAAAGAGAATGGGGCTGAGAAACTGTTTTAAGGGAAACTGTTTTCTAAACATTTTAAAAAACCAAACCCCAAATCCCTTTGAATCATTACCCTCCCTCAGGCTGTATCCTGCTCCCACTGAAGTCAATGGGAGTTTTGCTATTGTTCAGTGGGAGCAGCCTTGGGTCTTTTATCTCATTTCTATTCCCATCTCACCCTACAGGCCAGCAGGGCTCTTCTTATTGGTTTACATAATCTCTTCCTCCTAGTTCAATTCTGGAACAAAATGAAAACAAAATATACTACAATCTGAGAGGGGAAGAGCCTGGCGGGAACACAGAAAGAAAAGGGAGTGAGGAGAGGAAAAAAGATCTGCTGAAGGCTAAAGGGAGAGAAGGGGAATGGGTAGGAAGAAAGACTCAGATATCAGGATGATTACCATGATATGCATGCCTAGACATGAATAATATAATCAGTACAGTAGCCCAGCCCTGTTATTTATTTTGATATTAAATTCATTTTATGTCTCCACATTTTCATTTTCAACATGTTGTATATTTTTGAATTGATAATGCCTTATTTCATCTCGGAAATTGTCATAGGGCTAGATAACATTTTTGCAGATGGGTAGGACATGGCTATGACTTCTGGTCCCTAGAGAAGTGTGGGAGGAAGTTTGAGATTGCGAGAAAAGCACATTAACTGGATATTTCTGCTAAAATGATAATCAGTGAGACAGTTATTGTTAATATTAAAATGTTATCCTTCAGAGTTAACAACCAAGTGGAATACATGGGGCAGATATTACCTAAGACCTATTGTTTCAGCCTACATGCATATGCAGGCAGACATTAGTTTATACTCCATTCCTGTTTTCAATGTTATCTCTGCAACCAATATGGGCTAAAAACATGGGCTTTTTTAAAAAGAAAATTTAGATTCTGAAGCTCAGTTGTGCGCAGCAAGTTCCGTAGCCATGAAGTGCAGAACACCTGAAGCCTTGAATATAATATTAGATCATAATAATAAACAAATGTGGGATGGCAGCTTAATTTAGACTATCTGCTTACCGTTTTAGACCACAGTGAAAAGTTTAAGATAGTACTCTAAATTGGTGAACTTATATTTTTATTTCCACACAGCCAATTTAAACATACAAAACTGAGTATTCTTAAATTTGTTGCAAAAATATTGTTTTTGGGTTGAAACTTTGTGCTGCATTTCAATTTTGATCGAATTCTTACTGTTCAGTTATTTCCCCCTGAAAACAGACATTTATTACAGGAAAACTGACAGAATTCAAATTATATTGGCCCAGATCCCTTCCATTACCATTTCTTCTGTATTATAAAAATTGTATAAAATGAGACATGGGCATTCAGTGCTCTATTAGCTTAGCAAGATCTTTCTGTTCAGGGAGGACATTCTGTAAAAGTAGCATTTTTCTGAATAAATAGACCACGTAAAAGGCCAACAAATATCTCTGCAAATACACCCCATTATGCTGTTCTTTTCATCAGAAATTCCCCTGACAGTCTAGCCTGAAATGAGAGACAAAAATAGCTGAAAAGTTACTCAATAGTGCAAGACTGTTTGCAGATACATCAGATATTCTGAGTTAGCTCAGCACAAAGCAAAGATTAAGTATAAATCCCAACAAGATGGCATTATTAGACTGTGACTATAGTTTGGGCCACAGAGGGAAGCTGTCAGGAGCTATGAAATAACAATGAGAACCTGAAAAAAATTGTGTAGTTACAGAGTTACAAATAAGTGCAACTATTTTTTACCACTTTAAAAATTTATGATTGTATTAGTTAGAAAGGGGTTTGGGTACAGAGGCAATTGCAATTTAGTGGTTAGAGCAGAGGACAGGGCATAAGGGACTTGGGTTCAACTGATGATTCTACCAGTGACTCATTGTGTAACCTTGTATGAGTCACTTTTCTACGTGTCTCAGTTTATCCATCTGTAAAATCAGAAGAATGCTCACCATACTTATTTTTGTAAAGGGCTTTCAGTTTCTCTGAGAGAAGGTTCTGTAATAAGTGCATAGTCTAATTATTATTCATTAAGGAACATGCTTCTTATAAGTAAGGGTTGAATGGTGGAGTATAGATTATAAAATGTATAGTAATTAATTTAAAAATATTTAACAAGGGTTATAATTTAAACACTGCACAAGCATACCACATAATAGCAGCATCTGAAGATAGGATTCTGAATGCTGGAAAGGCTTAAGCCAGGCATAATTTTAAATGACAGTGGTGGATGGGAGGGATTTTCTCAGCATCACCATAGGCCTGCTTGTTGTCCCCTTAAAATTCAGCCAGAAGTGACCTGCAATTTGGCAGCATGAGCACTTTCTGGCCCTGAATCTCTCGCAGGAATCAGCTACGCTGTACTCCTGTGAAGCCTGGCTCATTGCACATCAGACCAAATACCCACAGGCTGCCACTGTCTATAGCAGTGCTCCAGAGGCAGCTGTACACTAATGTGTGTCTAGAAATTCTTCTAGCCTCTGAGTCAGGGGTTGGCAACCTTTCAGAAGTGGTGTGCCGAGTCTTCATTTATTCACTCTAATTTAAGGTTTCACGTGCCAGTAATACATTTTAACGTTTTTAGAAGGTCTCTTTCTATAAGTCTATAATATATAACTAAACTATTGTTGTATGTAAAGTAAATAAGGTTTTAAAAATGTTTAAGAAGCTTCATTGAAAATTACATTAAAATGCAGAGCCCCCCGGACCGGTGGCCAGGACCCAGGCAGCGTGAGTGCCACTGAAAATCAGCTCACGTGCCGCCTTCGGCACGCGTGCCATAGGTTGCCTACCCCTGCTCTGAGTCATTCTCTCATTTTTCTAGGCCTGCTCCATTTTCTCTTTTGTTCTGGCCACTCTCCCAGCCAACAACAGTACGATGTTTGACGTGCTGCAGATAGACAGAGTTGAACTCTGAGACTGACAAAATCCATAAATGTAACGGGTATGATGTCATGCAAAGACTTAGTAAATTCTCTCCATCTGCTGGATGGGGGAACTGTATTTCAGGCATGTATGGAAGATTGAAGAGAGAAAGACCAGCAGTATGTTTCTGTTTGTAGGAGAAATATTGGAAACAAGGACAGAGAATGGATGTTAAATGGGAAAAAGTGGCAAAAAAATTAAACAATGTATTGTGGCTTTTATGTATTTATTTTAAACTAGAGCAGTGAGTAAAGGGTGCTGTGCAAGCAGAC